AAATTAATTAGTTAGCAAATTTATTGTAAAATGATAAAATAATTTGACTTATTTAAGATTAAAAAAAATTAGGGATATTCGGTTCTTCAATTCTTTGTCTAGAATCGAGAATCTAAACAAACCCATCGGTTCTCGATTCAGATACACGTTTGAGTATTTAACTTAAGAAGAATCGCTCAATGCTAGTCATGTCCTACTCGGTTCGGATCCGAGATTTTTATCCAGCCCTAAGTGGCATGAAAAATGCATTTTGGAGCTTAATTGATGTTGATTCAAGCAATTGAAGTTCAACCGAATAGTATTTGATTGATATGAAGCATTAATAAAAGAATCAAAAATGATTCACTAGTTTAGGGAGCCAAATACAACATTTTGAATGTTTGGGGATGATAAGTGTGTTTTTGCACACTTATTTAATACCTAAATATGCTTATTATTGATAAAATTGAGTAAATTTCTACTCACAATTATGTAATTGTTACTTTTCTAAGTAAAAATCACCCAAAGGAAATAGAACAACACAAAATGAAGAAAAATGAACTAAAATTGTACAATATTGTGAATGTAGGGACCAATGTGAACAAAGCAGAAAGGTGAAGGATCTTGGATGCAATTTATGAAGGGCATAATTGATATCAAGTCAAAACTTGATGACCAAATTGTCTAAGATCAAAGTTGAGGGACCTGTCATGCAAGTACCTAGAGGACTTGGCTGCAAAATTAAAACAAAAAATTGGCTTTGGACAGAGACCTGGGCACCTAGGCGCTGCCTCATGGCGCCAAGGCGCCACTTTTAAAAAATCTGGGGACCGTTTTGACATTTGTCCGAAACTCTGGGGACCAAATATGTAATTTCTGTATAGGTTTTTTAAATAGAACCCAGTAGCTTGCGTTTTCTCTTTTTGGCTGGTTTTCCTTTGGAATTTCATTTTTTTTTCTTCTTTTNTATTCTCCTTTTTATCATTTATATAGAATGTGCTAGTTATTTGTGTTGGGATTTATGGTAGTAACTAAACATAAATTTAATAAATTTTAATATTTGTTTTTTAATGTTAAATACTTATTTTCATGTGTATTTCTTATTGTGTCGAATGCCTTTCATTTATTTGGTCATTAAATGATTGAGTTTAGTGATTTGTAAATCGTTCGAGAGAATATTAATGTTTGTGTTATGGATAGAGATATACCTCTAACCCTAGGTGATCCATTGAATTATTTTCACAAAAATTTAATGTAATTGTTTGATTTTAATCGACATAGAGATATAGTAGGTTAACCAATCAATTATGGTTAATTTCACTAGAGAGAGATAATTAACTAAACTTGGAAAATTGAGTCTAACATAGTGAATGAGTAATATATTAATTGACTTGTGGAGAAATTAATTAGGTGACGGTCAAGGGAAACCATGAATCTCAACCACGTTTTCCTCCAAAATTTTTGAGTATTTATGTTTTCTT